CCCTATTTACAAATAAAGCCATATCTCACATGCTGGAGTTTAGGATTTCAGCACATCCTTTTGGGATGATGTATCACAACCCATAATAGTTTGATTTCCCAGGAAACAGACTGAGATTGAGAATTGCTCGCTGTGGGTTTACTGTGGAGTACCCCAGCAACAGTACCTACAGGACAGTGAGGCAAGCAGGATGAAGCAGAAATGAATTGCATGTGTAATAGAGGCCTCAGGCAATCCCACAAGGGGCTCTGAAGCTGGGAAGGATTCTAGATCTATCCCTAACTGAAATAGGTAGTCTAGGATTTTCTTCTCTTGCATTAACTACTCCCTAGGTTGCACTAGCGGGGAGTGTGGGGGATGCAAAGCAGCTTCTCTTAGCCAAAGGCAAGGCCTATGAAGGGACCCAGCAACCAGATGGTTGGCAAAGGGAGTAACAATGTTTTGGTTCCAGGAGGGGGGTCTGGGTTGCATCCCCCAACACCTACAACCATATTATGTTTGAAAAATAGAACTTAAAAATAAGCAAAATAAGGCTGGCCAAATACCTCAGTGGATTAAAGCACCTGCAAGCAGGTGCAAGGGCCAGGGGTTTGATCCCCAGGCCTGCTGTGCTGGCCCCGCCCCCGAGACAGCAATTGAGACAGGGCATGGTGGCTGCACCTGTAATTCCAGCTCTTAGGAGGCTGTAAACAGGCAGATCACTACGAGTCCAATCTAGTAACAAGACCCTGAACGTCCTGTAGACCCGTCGCTAAAAAATACAAAAAACCCAACAAAACAACAAGTAAAGCTAATATATATATATATATATATATTTTTTTTTTGCATGTATATTTATGGTAAAAGTATATATGGGATAGGTTCATGAAATGGGTGGCAAATTTAGTTTTCATTTCATTAGTCGTTTTTATAACTAATATATACTAATATATTTCATGTAATTGTTAAATACACAAAGGTAATAAAGTAAAGAAAGAAATAGACAAAAGTAATAGAAACTAAAGTAGCTAGAATTTTTGGAAAAGAAATATGGGGAAATAGTGAATTCTAGATAGATGTGGTAGTGTACACTTGTAATCCAACATTTTGGGGGCTTGAGGCAGGAAGATGGCAGGTTAAACCCCAGCCTGGACAATTAATGACTTATCAAGACCCTATCTTAAAAATCTTAAAAGGACTAGAGATGCAGTTCAGTGCAAAGGCCTTGGGTTCCAGCTCCAGTATGGAGGGCTGGGAGAGAAGGATAGCAAATTCTGCTATGACTAAAGTAGGCATTCAGTTGAAGAAAAGCTTTTCAAATTTTCCTATATTATTTATTTATTTATTTATTTATTCATTTATTTATTTGATACAGGGTCTCACTATGCAGTTCTGACTCATAGTGATCCTCCCCAGTACTGGCATTACAGGCATGTGCCAGCACATCCGGTTCAGGGGTTGGCACAGCATGTGGTACCGAGGACCTAACTCACTTGCCAGGCAGGTACTTAGATTGCTGAGCTACCTCCCTAGCCCAATATAGTATTTACTTATAAATTTGCTTACATGATTCAAGTTTTGGGTTTGTTTTCTGTTTTGGTAGGGCAATTGATACAATATCATGGTTTTATTTCCTCTTTCACCTAGTGGTACACTGGTTTGTTAAGGATAGTGCAATTTATATGTGTGTGTGTGTTTAAAATGAAAATCATTTTAACAGTGTTGAAATGATTGTTAGATCTGCTGATGCAATAAAGAAAGCTAGTTACTGTTTCAAGATTGATGCATCAGGGATTATGTGAAAGATGTATCACTTGATAAGTCAGGATTTCATCATGACAGTTTTATTATGTTTTTTGTTTGTTTATACTTTATAGGTGTGTGGTACTAGAAATTGAACGGAAGGCCTCAAAGTACAACAGGCACACACTCTACCACTGAGCTACACCCTCAATCCTCATGATATATTTTTAATGGTATGGTACTGAGTAAAGAAAAAGTCGTGGGTTATAAAATCTTTGTTGTATGTATCATATAGATGCATGCCTACATAGAAAAAAAATGAGAGAAGACAAAACAACAACAACAAATTGCTAGTGACAAGTAGTGGGCATAAGAAATGAAGTAGCATACTTTTTCATTTTATAGACTTCAGGGAGCCCGTGAAGCAAAAAATAAAGAAGACATTAATAATATTTTTCACTGCTTGTTGCAAAATAACTGGTTTCAGTTTTGTTTAAGAAATAGGTTTACAGAAGTTTCCATGGTATGTGAGCCAAAGCTTTATTAGTAAGTAGGTGATGACATAGAGCCCTGGAGTTTTCAGTGCAAAATGGTTTGTGTCTAGAACTAGGCTTACAGACTGGGCGTGGTGGTGTGCCTGGAATCCCAGAGCTCGGGAGGCTGAAAACAGGAGGATCACTACAAGTACGATCTGTGTAGTGAGACCCTGTAAGACCTTGTACTAAATACATGAAAAAGTAAAATAAATAAATAAATAAATAAATAAATAAATAAAAGATAAAGAGAACTAGGCTCACTACACTATAGAGGTCCTTACAACTTGAAGAGCTGGCTCCTTGTTGGAAAACAGGGTTGTTCCTCTGATATTTGAATGGGAAGAGTATACTGAAATGAAATCACTTTGTAATACTGAATATTATACTATTGAATTGTAATATTGTTGATATAATATAGAATCATAATAAGTGTCAGCATTCTTATGGTAACATGTCATAAATAAAACAAATACTATTTTTTTGCTAAAGATTCCATTCCTAATGTCCATACTAAAGATTCTGTTTCTCTTAAATTAGTTTTCACCATAGCACTTTCTTTTTTTTTTTTTTAACCCAGGATTGGACACCTGAAATTAAAGTCAAGTTAAACCCCAATATTTGGACATGTGTTTAATTGAAGATGAGACAGAAGACATCAGGGCGGTTTATAATTTGCAAGTTTTATTATACAGAATCCAGCTGTTGCCCCAAAGAAAAAATAACCAAGATGGTATTCTTAGAATTTTCTGGCTTCTTTGAAAGTTTGAAATTTTCTAATTACAGAATTTTTCTTTTATTATATTGATCTACTCTTTTTTTTTTTTTTTTTTTTTTTTGGTGGTACTGGGGATTGAACTCAGGGCCTTGTGCTTGCCAGGCAAGCACTTATTCTATCGAGCTATCTCCCAGGCCCCTGTTGAACTACTCTTGATTTCATCATGACAATCTGATCTGAAACCAATTTGCTGAAAGAATGAAAATGCATTTTCAATTACATGAGAACACTTGTATACTACTATGATGCAATGTTGTTGTTTCACATCTTTTTCATGTTAAAGACTTTTGAACTCTAAATCTTTTAAATAAATGATATTGAAACAGTGTGGTTGTGTCTGAGTATGATATCTGTATAACTACTGCGTATTTCTAGAGATTCTTCTGTTTTCCTTAGGCATTTTTTATGCTACCTTCTCTGAGTTAGTTCTGGAGATATAATTTCATAGCCATAGTCTGTTAGTTGAAGTTCCCATCATGTGACTCAATCTCTTGTTTGTCTATAGGAAAGTTAGTTAACTATTTTAAGCCTCAGTTTGCTCATTTGTAAAATGGGACTGTTTCATAGAATACCATATCCCATGGCTATTTGGCAACAACTACTAAATGCTTAAATATTATGTTCCCATTTCACACATAAATTTTAAATGTTTAACAGTTAAGTCTGTACAAGATCACAGAATTAGGGCTGGGGAGATAGCTCAGTGATCTAAGCACCTACCTGGCAAGCATAAGGACTCCAGTTTGATCGCCAGTACGGCCTGCTGTGCCGGCCTGCCCTAGGCCCACCAAGCCAGCCACTGAAATGAGCTGGGAGGCATCTTTGTATAGGCCTATGTTCCCAGCGCTGGGGATGCTGAAACAGTAGGATCACTATGAGTCCAAGCTGCGTAGTGAAACACTGTGGCAACACATAAATTACAGATCACAGAACTAATAAGAGGTGGAATCAAGGTTCTGGTTCCAGATTACCTGACACCAAAGCTCACAATTTGATAATATAGCTTCCTCTTTGGAGAGCTGTAAATGACTTCATATTTGTCTAACTCTTGTCTCTGTGCTAAATTTTAGTACAAAATACTGCTGACTAGGACTGAATCATTGCTACAGGGTCTTGTATCCATTTAAGTTTTCAGTGGTTCATAAAATGTATTCAGAGAAAGGAGTATTGTTTCATTCCAACCTGAACTTCAAAGGTTTTTTTGTGTGTGGGGGATATACTATTTAATTCTGTGGAAGGCACTTTCTCTTTCTTTCTTTCTTTCTTTTTTTTTTTTAGTAGATAAAACAATATCTTAAAAACAAGTCTGAGGTGACACAAACAAATGATTGTTTTGTGGTTCTGGAGAATGTATCCAGGGCCTTACCATGTTAAGCACATGTTTTACCAATGAACTACTCCCCTCACCCCTAAATATGTACATGTTTAATAAGGGTTATTATTTTCTTTTCTGAGACAGGGGTCTCAATAGGTAGTTCAGACTGGCTTTGAGCTCACCATGTAGTGCAGGCTGGTGTTGAACTCATGGTGATCCTACTGCCTCATCTGCCCAAGTGCTAGGATTATAGGCTAGTTCCACTACACTTACGATGATAGGCTAGTTCCATTACGCTCAGTTTAATAAAGATTATTCTTATAAATTGCATGGTGGTCCCTGAATTTTGTAGAAAAAGCCTGGTAACCAAATTGATATACTTTCACTTTTTGATATTGTTTTTAGTTCATATACTCAAAATGAATTCTGGCAACAATGGAAAAAATCCATTTCCACAGCACATGTCCTTATTTAGTTTAAGATATTCCTACATCAGCAATGTCTGTCTGCCATGGCATCTTCAGAAAGACTAGTTAGGATGATGCCATATTCCACGTAGAAACACTTGTGATTTGAGTTAGTTGGCAGTAGTAGAGATCAGGAGGTTTGTCAGTCAAGGTATTTATTTATTTTATTTTTACTTTTTTGGCAGAACTGGGAATTGAACTCAGGCTCTTGCCCTTGCCAGGCAAGCACTTATTCTACTGAGCCATCTCCCTGGCCCCAGTCCAGGTATATTTAGAAGGTGGACTGATCAGATGTGCTAAAGAATCGGATAAGAGAATGTAATGGAAAATAATCAAAATTGATCTCTAGGTTTTGAATTTTAGAAAGGCAGTAAATGATGGGGAAGAGGGGAAGGGGAAAAGACAAAGAAACAGAAGAAGAGAGAAATGGAGGGGCCTCTATTTTTGAATATGCCAGGCTGAGATGCTGGAGATGTTTATTTTACACCTGAGTGGAGCTGTTGAGTAGGCTCATGGACTTCCAAGCAGAAGAAGAGCCTGGATGAACACATTTGGAAGACACCAGCTGTAGTGGGATAACAGCTGGTATTTGAAACCATGTAAGAGAACTGTAAAGAAGGAAGGAGAGCTGGGATCTGCGCCTACTGAGGGAAAAGCTGAGGGAAAGGAGTGGTGGGATTTGGCTGGAGGACGCAGCTCCAGCCCACAGTTTCAAAACCAGTTAAAACATGGTCTCAGCTGAATACTCACGGCTGAATTCTGCTGGACGACTCACAGCCTTATGGTTTTAAGTTCACCTTGATGAGAGGGAGGACAGAGAGTGGGGGCATGGGTAGAAAGGGAGGAGGCGCAAAGGAAATAAAACGGCAAATTTAGCTTCAAGATAAGTTAAATTGCTTGACTAAAAAGCTCTGAGGTCTTGAATTAGCAGTTCCTGAATAAATTTTAGGTACCTTCTGTGAGTCCAAATCCAAGCCAGAAAAGAGAACAGAAGCCCGTGGAGGAAGCGAGAATATGCGTGAAGACCTTCATTGCCTTGCACATTATTTAAACTTACTTTGTAGTTTTTTTCTCTGAAACTTGTCGGAGCCATTTCCCATGCTTCTGCTGCATACCTGAAATTCTGCTCTCTTCCTTTACAAACACAGGGTGGGTTGGGGAGAAGCAGAAGTAGCAGAGCGAATTGCTGTTTTCCTCTGGGCTTCCTTCATCTATATGATGCCCCTGTGTATTAGTTACTTGATCCTATCAAGCCTTGAACTCCCGTCACTTGGAGGCACGTGCTACCTTTTGCTCAAGGATGGAGGGAAACCAGGTACTCAGCATATTGTCTTTTCTTTCTTTCAGTGTTGGGGCTCCCAATGGGCTCCACCCCCAGCCTACATCAGACATTTAGAAGGTCAAGGAATGTAAGGAGAGTGTATGGGAGCGGTGGGGGAAGGAATACAAAGAGGACTGTAAGTGATTGTCGGGGTAAGTTTATAGGAAGGATGACAGAGCACAGTGGTTAAAAATAAAACACAAGGTTTCATTCACTCTTACTACCGACGTCCCATTCACTGGTCGCGAGAACCGCCGAAGCCAATGAGAGGCTGAGGCGCTTTGGTGGGGTGAGACTTGCTGCCTAGGAGCGGAATCCAGAGAGAGAGCGACCAATGATTGGGCGAGAGTGAAGTTTGATTGGCAGGTGGACGGTGGCCGGCTTTAGAGCGGAAGCAGTGTGAAAGGGCGGGGGAAGTGGGCGGGGCGATGAGGCTGGCGTTAGCCAATGGATGATGCAGTACGCGTAGACTGAAAGGTAAATCACCATTGGCGGCGCGGCTGCGGCACGTGGGCGGGGTTTAGGTGCAAAGTACTCCAGGAACCGCGACTGTGAGAGTCGTCCTCGCCGTCACCGGTCGTCCCCTCCCGCCTCCATTCATTTATTCCTTTTTTATTTTTTCATTCACGGAGGTAGTGAGGCCTGGTCAGCAGCCATGGAGAGCGCTCTCCCAGCGGCCGGCTTCCTGTACTGGGTGGGCGCGGGCGCCGTGTCTTACCTGGCCCTGCGTATCTCGTACTCGCTCTTCACGGCCTTCCGACTCTGGGGTGTGGGTAACGACGCGGGGGTCGGCCCGGGGCTCGGTGAATGGGCAGGTGAGTCGGAAGCAGCGCCGCCCCCCTTCTTGCCGCGGCTCGGCTCGGCCGGGCCTGGCCGGGCCAGGGCCCCCTGAGTGGTTCCGCGCCCGGTGGCGGGCGCCCGGTGCTTCCCCAGCGCCTTCTCCTCTCCGCGGCGCCGGGCTCCGGCTGCCGAGACCGCGTGGCGTCCCGGGATGCCCAGATGCACGCTGCGCCGGCTCCGGGAGCCTCAGCGCGGTGCAGCTTGGCGGGCGCGGGGACAGCGAGCCTGACCTCGCTGGGGCTGGTGTGTCGAAACCATTCCGGGTTCTTACTGCTCAGTCCGCCCTTCTTTGAGCGCTTTTGAAACCGCGAGGACGCCGCGTATTAAGAAAGAAAGGCGCATCTTGATTTGTTAGGGATAAAGATTGGGAGAGAAGGGTGTGGGGATCCAGAATTTTAGCAGTTGGTGGAACCTTGCCTCTTCCAGTTATTTGCAGTCGGCCCTTTCGGTATAATTTACAAAGTCGCCTTAAAACAATCTTTGCTAAGCAATTCTGAAGTCCCAGTGAATAGCAAGAGCTATTGCTTCCGTGGAATGAAAACTCCATGATACGTTTAAAAATGTTTTTTTGCAAGAGGACTTTTGTAAGAAAAACCCCACAAAATGAGCTAAATAAGTATGTAGATCTCGTTCCATCCAGTTCGAGGGTTTAGTGGAGGACAAAGGTCACAGAAAAGTTGGGAAAATTAGTTTGCCCTGCGCGCCCCCCCCCTTGCCTTTTAAAATTTCTTCTCTTATTTTTCTTTATTTGCTTTGGCTTTGAAAACTAGGTGACTGCTTATGATACATTTGTGGCTTTCTGATGTGACTATTCGTTTTCATGTTCAGTAATTGAATTTTGTTGTCAGTGGTTGCTTGCAGACTAAATTCGAGTAAGATCTACCCGAATGAATATTGTTACTCCCGGTTGTTTATTTATTCAAAAGCATTTAAACAACTTAGTAGGAAAGGTGTAATAAGCTAACTTTTTGAGACAGCAATGTAAACAAGATGTTTCAAGCAAAACAACTTTGCAAGATCTTTCCGTGATTTGAAGCTATCAGTGGAGTACTGTTTTTCACGATCACTATTGTGCTTTGATAGTCTCAGAAAGAAAGATGCATAGTTTGATTCTAATCAAGATTCTGATTGTATGAAGTGACTCAACCAGTTTCTTTCTGCAAAGTGGAAAATTTTGGTTAAGGAATTTGGTGACCATTACACAAGACAGAATCAATTATGTACAGAATCAATTATGGAGATAAAAATTAGCAGTTTGCAAGTAAAAACTAGTGTTACTAATTTTTTTTCCTATGTAAAACTGACCACAGTGCCCAGTAACTCATCTCTGTAGGGCTCCCTAGTGAAAGGCAAGGAATGTGACAACTCATGTCCCAAGTCACTCTTGGATTGAAAAGATTTAACCCCAGGGGAAGAATAATTGGTAAGCTAAGAAAGGGTTAATATAGGATTTAGAAATGAAATATGAACTAGAACATTGGTACAGCAAAGGGAATCAGGGTGTCATTGAAGTGAAATATTGTCAAGTTTGATTTATCCTGGATTATTGGCAAATTTTCTTAAATTTTAAATGCTTAAGCAGAAGTAGTAACCAAATTATTACTTATTGCATTGATTACCTATGGCCCGGATCTCAAAAGTAAATGACTCTTTAGTTTCTCCAAACTTAGGGAATCTTTCCAAAACAACAAATAGAAGTGAGCACATTTTAGACAGTTTTTCTGTATGGAGACTGAGCTGAAATGATTTGAAAAATCAAACTAGCAGAGGTGACAGTTGAATAATTAGGGTTAAATTGTGCTTAAAAAATAGGTTAAGGGGCCTGGCCCTAGCTCAGTCCTTTAAGTGGCTGCTTCCACAAAGCTGTCAGCCTCAGGTTCCTGGAGTTCGAAACTCACAACTCTCCCGTTGGCCAAGAGTGCCCTGAATTCATTCGAGGAAGAAAAAAAAAATAAAACCCTTAAAAAATAGGTTATTCAGCCAGAGTTGTGATTTTAGAATTTTTGTTTATAAGTAGTACTAATAGATGTTCTCCCTTGCAGAACTGCTGCCTTAATCTCGAGTCTGTTTATTTTCATGCAACTTTCTTTGAACAAATGCTGGTGGCAGACAGTAGTAGGAAGCCTTTCTTACATTCTTCTGACTTTCGTTTAACATCTTCCTTTCCAGAATAAATTTTCTGAAGTATTCTATAGTAATGTATGTTGTCCTTGATAACATATTTTCGTTGGTTTGTTTTTGGCAGTGCTGGAGAGCAAGACCGGTGTGCCATGTGCGTGTAAGGCAAGTGCTCCATCGCTGGGCCACATGCCCAGCCCTGTCATTCTTAAATCCCAGGCCAGTCTGTTTAATTCTTCCTCCCATTTTAGTATCTGAGGGCCAGGGATTGTAGATTTTCATTTTTTGCATACTTTTCCCACAGTAACTGACGCATTGTTAAAGTGTACGCACTTCTAAATCTGAAAGGAGGACAAAACTTGGGGAAAAAAACCCCTTGAAATTCAAATATACTTTGCAATGAGTAAAAATATTCTAGGCTAAAAAAAAAAAAAAAAAGAAATTGTAGGCTACAGATTCCTTAAGCTAGTTAGATTTTTAAAGGCTTGCACTCATTCTTTGTCCCCTATTCTACAGTTGTCCCTTTATCTTCTCAGTTATCTCTCTCCTGTTCTCCTAAGGAACATTGTTACTCCTGTGAGTCACCTTGGTTCCACCGGCCCCCTGGGAGGGAGGTTTAGCCAGCTTAAAGAGTTAAGTCTCTTGCCTGTCTGTTACTAATTCTGTCATAGGGCTGCTGAATATCCTAAAACAAAGGTATGAGCAGAAAGGGGAGGAGCCGCAGTTGTTTAAAGATGTCTGTAGTAATCAGAAGATTGACAGTAAATGTGATGCTGAGTAAAGGGACGGACAGTACTGTAAAGTGATGTAGAGTGTAGTCAGTGGAACATGGTGTGAGTGTAGATAAATGTTGTGCTTACCTGTGTTCCTGTCGCTGGGGTTCATCCAGAGTGAAGGGGCTCATCCTCAAATGCTGCTGAAGTGCAGAGCGCAGATACAGAGGCAGAGTATCCCTACTTCCAAAGTCCTGGTATTTGTAACTTTAAAGATTTAATCTAATTTTATCTTTTGGAACAGCGTCTTGCTATGTAGTTTTTTTTTTTTTTTTTTTGCTATGTAGTTTGGGCTGGCCTTCACTTTATTGTGTAGTCCAGGCTTGTCCTGAATTAGTGGCGATCCTCCAGCTTCAGCTTCCTGAGGGGTAGGATTACAGATGTGGGCCACTCTGCCTGGCCAGGGTAGTTGATAACTTTATACCCAAGATAGCACTTTGAATATGTATTTTTAGTTTTTAGCTTCAGTACTTTTATAGGTACAGAGAATAAAGGATCCACTAATTAATGAGTTAGGTTTTTTTTTAACAGCTATGTTGAGATTTTATTTATTTATTTATTTTTGGTACCAGGAATCAAACTCAGGACCTTGCACTTGCCCAGGCAGGAATTTGTGCCACTGAGCTATATCCCCAGTCCTTGAAGTATATCCTAACTATAGTACTGTATAGTTTACCCACAGGGTTTTCAGGTCAGGGTTTTTATTATGTATATAAGATTTTGCTGATGTCCTTATATCTGATTTCAGTATATTTTCATCCTTCTTTAAAAGAAGTCTTATGCCTGTCACTGTCACTGCCTAATCTCTACCCCCTCCAGCCCTGTTCAACCATTAATTTACTTTTGGTATAGATTTACCCCATTCTGGACATTTTATATAACTTGAATACTTTAACATGCTTAGCATAATGTTTTCAAGGTACGTTCATGTTGCAGTGTGGAATCATTTTTTTATTGCTGAATAAATGCCCTTCTGAGGAGTAAGGTTACATTTCTTTAAGGACTTTCGCCTCTGTTTTGCCCTCTACACATGTGTATTAGCAAACCCTTAAGGTGTTGGCAGCTACTGGGGCCGGGTGGAATTTATCTGGCTCCTGTGTTTTTCCTGAAAACTAGGTGAAGGTGGGTAGAGAAGCAAACTTAGTCCTGGAAGGTTTTTTTTTTAATGAGCAGAATATATTTATTGAGGGAAAGAAAGCTCCTGTCCAAGAAAGGGACAGGAGGAAGGCCTGAGTGGGTAGTTCCCCGGGAAGCTGTCTCTTTCAGGGACTTTTATAGTGTAAAACCATGTGGGGCTAAGGGAGAGAGAATGGGAACTCGCTTAGGTGGGCAGGAGGTGGGACAAAACAATGGTCAACCAATGGGATTACAAGCACCATTGCTCAGGTAAGAACAATTAATTATGAGCAATGGGCAAAGACATTAACATTTGAAGCATAAAAGTTTGTTACCTAAGCAAGTCCTAATCCAGAATTTATGAAACAAAAGCAAACTCATACCTCCGTCCAATGATCTCGGTGGAAGCCTCCAAAATGATAATGAATTTTAGGAACAAACGGAGGTTATGAGCAGACTATATTCATTGAGGGAAAGAAAGCTCCTGTCCAAGAGAGGGACAGGAGGGTGGCCCAAGTGGACAGTTCCCCCAGTCCTGGAAGTTTTTGACTACTTGTTCGTTCTGCATGTCAGCATCTAAAAGGGAGTCGTACCCAAGTAGGCCAAGTCCTCTAGATTGGAGGCTGCAGGTCAGCCTTAAAATACTGGTAATGCCAGAGGCTATGAAACAGGGAAACCAGTTGGACGCCAGATCTAAAAGCAAGCCTGGGTCTTTGGACTAAAAGAGGGGTGTTTCCTACAACAGTGTACTCTAGTGGGTCAGAATCTCTTCTCCCCTCAGTCACGCCCAGCCCTATTCTTGCCCAGTTTTTTTTCCCCCTGTATGTGCAACATCAAGTCTCCTGTTTAAAGGTCATCCTGAGACCTTGAACACCCACATGTGGTCTTGAATTCTAGCTTCTTTATTTACTAGCAAGACCTATAGGGTTATTGTTTAGAGTAAAGGAGAACATATTCTATGTAAATCA